TCATCTTGGGGCATCGCGTGTCTTAATTTACTTTTCGTCGACGCCGTTCGAATAATCGGAACGGTAACAAATCTTTCTCATAATTAGATTTTTCCTTTCATAGCCGCAATATATTCGTTTGCCGTCGAAAGCTTCGATTCCCATGAATATTTATGAGCGTGGTATAATGCATTTTTTATTAGCACGCGTTTATACGCGCTTTAAATTTTCACATGGCAGATTAAAACGGTGCAACGCGCCAGTATTCAATGGACCGTGTCCACGATGCCGGTGCATCGAATCTGAACCATCATTTAACAGGTGTTCATTTGCATTAGACCTTCCCTTGTTCGTGAACATGTAGCACACTATTCGTAGTTCATAGTATAGGAATCTAAAATTGTTGAATCGTTCAAGTATTTAGACACGTTTCTACGTCGCGTCTCGTTCGATAAGTCGTCGAGTAGCAAAATCATATTTTTATTTAATCTTTATCTTGAGAAATTGCTTTCTGATATTATGATGTCACGTGTAGGGTAGAAGTACGCTGTAGTTTTCGAGTACGATCAATCTTTTTGAGCACGCCCTTCCACGAAGTTGTATAAAACTAGGCAACCATAATGGCACGTGTCCACTTGAGAGTTTCTCCCGAGAGCTGCTTTTGAGAGTACAATAAATTCTCCGCAATTGTCCCAGAGTTTGTAAACGAAAGTGGACAATTTGGAAAGTGGAGGATACAATTATTCGAGCCTCCTGGCTCGTTCTTATAGTTTCCGATTGTCAAGGAATATTAATATCTCTTCAGTTTCCAAGAATAATAAACGAATGGTTGAAAGATTCCGAAGCATTTGATCGTCGATGGAATTCTTCTCATTGTTTGGTGTGCCTATTACGTAGATAGAAAGCATTTTACGATGCAGCCTTCAAAAGATAACGGAAGCTACTGCTATTAATTACGATAATAATAATTATGTTATATATTAATAGTAATTATGTTATACAAGGTGTCCCAAAAATGTCTTGCATTACGGAAATGGTGGATTCCTTAGGTTATTTGAAGCAACTTTTTCCTTTACAAAAATGTTCTCCGAAGCACCGTTAACGAGTTATTAACGAAAAACAGTGACCAATGAGAGGCGAGCTCAGCTGGCGCGAGACGATCGAGCCAATGAGCGGAGCTGGGCTTCGCGCGCTCGTTGGCTCGGCCACCTCGCGTCAGCAGAGCTCGCCTCTTATTGGTCACTGATTTTCGTTGATAACTCGTGAACGAAGCCGCGGTTTGCATTTTCGCTAAGGAGATAGTTGCTTCAAATGATCTCAGGAACCCTTCTGTATATTACGATAATAATAATAATTATGTTATCGATATGCGAAAGTTTCTTAATCAGTATGTATTTAGCTATAGTTGATAGTAAAACAAAAGAAAAATATCGTTAATTAAAAGAGTGACTTAGAAAATTAATTATCGATTTTTCCACGTTTTGCTGAGCCTCGGAGGCCTAAGAAAAATAGAAAAAATAAGTAATAATGTAATGTTTAGTACATATATCGATAATTATACAAGGCAGTCGCATCCTTCAAACAACCATAATTTCCTTAGTTTTAGGAGTTCGCATGTAAGGTTCCAGAGATGTAATTTTGAAACTATATCCTTTCAGAATATGCAGCAAAATTGATTTTTTTTCAAAAATTCACAGTAGAAGACTCCCATAAGTGACAGTGACTCTTAGAAACGGGGGGTGTCCGTTAAGTAAAGCTCTTATCGAATTAAATCGACAGATGATAACTTTTAAAGAATTAGAGACCTCGCATGGTTTCTGTTTACTTTGATGACAACACTTGCGAGCTTACGTAATCTCTATGATGGTCGCAAAGAAACTCTGTATTCAGTCATGATTCGTTATCAGTAGATAGCGGATTTTTATGCAGTTGTGGCACGTTCACATTTTTTGCACCGATCGGTAGCCTGTAAATTGATTGTCATCGCAAGCAATAATTTGTTATTTATTATTGAGGCGGAAGTGTTAGATCGTACTACTCTAAGCTCCCATATTTTTATACAAAAATAGATAAAACAAGTAAAACAGATAAAATAAATAAAATTGATAAAACAAAGAAAATAGAAATAAAATAAATGAAATAGATAAAATAAATATTATTTAATGCTAGTGTCATATAAATATAAAGACATTATTAGATTGGAATAGATAAAATAAATATTGTTTATAATGCTAGTGTCATGTAAATATAAAGACATTATTAGATTGGAATAGATAAAATAAATATTGTTTAATGCTAGTGTCATGAAAATATAAAGACATTATTAGATTTCATTATCCTACAAAATAACAGAAAGCGAATAATACAGAAATAAGCAGAGGCAAGTAGCAGAAATAATTGTGTGCAGTTAGAGTATAATGCAATTACCGATTTAAGAGGAAAATGCGACGTGACAGGTAGTATTTCTAATCGTAAGTGTCTTGGTCGTTCTCGATTAAACAATTAAAATTAAATGAACATTGCACTCAAAATATCTCGGATCGTACAATTAGGAATAGATTAAACGAAATGGGTAATAAAATAACGTTCAGTTACAAGTCAGGAGTACAACTTGGATCATCAATGTCTAAATTTGTATTATGTTGGTATATGTGCGGTAAGTTGGTATATTTTAGTTATTTAGATATCACGTGTCCATTTTCTATTATATGCATGAACATTGCAATACCTATAAAAATGTATACTTTAGGAAGACTGAAGCAGTAAAACTGTGAAAAATTGTCAAAACGAGACTTGGTTTTACAGAAAAGCTGACGCAACGGTTATTAAGGGCATAGATAACTCGGCTCTATGATATTCGAAAAATAAAGCTCGCGATGTAATTTCGACGCCTGAGAAAGCAGTCGAGCGATAAGCGCGCTCTTCGCTCAACGTTCGTATCCAATTCCACAAGAAACCACGATTTCTCAGACATATTTCCGACGGTCTTGCAAAAACATGTCTCGAACAAAAGAGTTGGTCAGTATTCGCTTCTCTACAAATTAAAATATAGAGACATGCAGGAACTAGTTTTTGTTTCGTTAACAATACCGGTCACCTTAATTTTGTTTAACCGTTAAGACATATTTTTGGCTAAGATAATATTCTAATTGGCAGTACCGTATCTTTCTTTACAATTTTTAATTGCAACACGTTTACACCATCTCGACTCGCTTCTAATGAAAATTCACTTTATAACCAATTAGATTAGGCTGATCTCCGCCGCGTTGTTTTATATTTAACAGCTACGTTAGGTAGCTGAAGACCATCTAGTTGCGACAATGTAAAAACCAGAAATACTAAATAATAAAATAACTACTAAATAATATAGAAATAATAAATTTTATTCATTAATATTCGGACAGTCTAGCTGCGACAATGTAAAACCCAGAAATACTAAATAATAAAATAACTACTAAATAATATAGAAATAATAAATTTTATTCATTAATATTCGGACAGTCTAGCTGCGACAATGTAAAACCCAGAAATACTAAATAATAAAATAACTACTAAATAATATAGAAATAATAAATTTTATTCATTAATATTCGGACAGTCTAGCTGCGACAATGTAAAACCCAGAAATACTAAATAATAAAATAACTACTAAATAATATAGAAATAATAAATTTTATTCATTAATATTCGGACAGTCTAGCTGCGACAATGTAAAACCCAGAAATACTAAATAATAAAATAACTACTAAATAATATAGAAATAATAAATTTTATTCATTAATATTCGGACAGTCTAGCTGCGACAATGTAAAACCCAGAAATACTAAATAATAAAATAACTACTAAATAATATAGAAATAATAAATTTTATTCATTAATATTCGGACAGTCTAGCTGCGACAATGTAAAACCCAGAAATACTAAATAATAAAATAACTACTAAATAATATAGAAATAATAAATTTTATTCATTAATATTCGGACAGTCTAGCTGCGACAATGTAAAACCCAGAAATACTAAATAATAAAATAACTACTAAATAATATAGAAATAATAAATTTTATTCATTAATATTCGGACAGTCTAGCTGCGACAATGTAAAACCCAGAAATACTAAATAATAAAATAACTACTAAATAATATAGAAATAATAAATTTTATTCATTAATATTCGGACAGTCTAGCTGCGACAATGTAAAACCCAGAAATACTAAATAATAAAATAACTACTAAATAATATAGAAATAATAAATTTTATTCATTAATATTCGGACAGTCTAGCTGCGACAATGTAAAACCCAGAAATACTAAATAATAAAATAACTACTAAATAATATAGAAATAATAAATTTTATTCATTAATATTCGGACAGTCTAGCTGCGACAATGTAAAACCCAGAAATACTAAATAATAAAATAACTACTAAATAATATAGAAATAATAAATTTTATTCATTAATATTCGGACAGTCTAGCTGCGACAATGTAAAACCCAGAAATACTAAATAATAAAATAACTACTAAATAATATAGAAATAATAAATTTTATTCATTAATATTCGGACAGTCTAGCTGCGACAATGTAAAACCCAGAAATACTAAATAATAAAATAACTACTAAATAATATAGAAATAATAAATTTTATTCATTAATATTCGGACAGTCTAGCTGCGACAATGTAAAACCCAGAAATACTAAATAATAAAGTAACTACTAAATAATACAGAAATAATAAATTTTATTCATTAATATTCGGACACCTTTTAAAACGCAATAGCTTCTTTTTAAAACTAAACTAAACGATTCGAACCTTTTTTAAACGATGTTTCTATAGCTGTACCGTGTTTATATAGTTATTGACAATCGGATACTATAAAAACGAACCGCTGGGCTCGAACAATCGCATCTCTCCTCTCCTCAAATTGTCCATTTCTGTTTCCAAGCTGAGCGCGAATTAGGGAGAAATGATTTCTATTCCATTGACAGCGAATAACGAACCGATTTAACATCGTATTCCAGGCGAAGATCGACGAGGAGTACCAGCACCAGAAGACGCTGGAAAAGCCGGAAGTGAATGTTGGTGATTCGCGAGTGCGTACGAGTAGTTCGTCGTCGTTGATCGTCCACTGGAAGGACGACGTTCTGGAGACAGTGCCACCAGCTCCAGCGGATAAGCTACCCTTGTCCGTCGGCGGGGAGGATGAGGACGCCGTCGCCGGAAAGCGAAGGGACAAGGTGAAAGAGGTGAGTCTTCTAAGATTCTCCTAATCTTTCCTCTTGCGACATTTATCCTTTTTCTAGGCTCGTGCATCCTTTAGGGTGTTCCGTTGAGAAATATTGTTGTTTTCGTTCTTGTTATTTTTCCATTTGCAGCAATTTTCATCGCTCTTGAGATTACTTTATAGTGCACATCGTATGCACAAAATGATTACGAAATCACGAAGTTAGGTTGTTGAGGAGTTACAAATGTTCACAATATTTCAGGTAGCTTGCAGCTTTTTAGTTCGTTGCACAGTAATGTCTCCCTAATTGACGCACATATTGGCCACAGAAACGGACAATTTGAGAAGAGGGGATACGATTGTTTCAGACTTTTGTCTCGTTTTTATAGTTACCGATTGTCAACAACTATAAAAACGAGGCACGAGGCTCGAATAATGGTCCATTTTTGTCCGCAATCTGAGCGCGAATTAGGGAGAAATTTCTGTCGAAAAACTCGAAGTTCGGAGTGCAATTTTGGGGGTCGTTTCGTTGCTTGGATAAACGGGGTAAACGACATTTTATAGTCGCCGGTTGCCAACGACTATAAAAACGAGCTTACAAGGCTCGAATAATCGTACCTACTCTTCCAAAATTGCGCATTCTTGCGGGCAATCTGAGCGTCAATTAGGGAGATATTACTATTGGGTTGGCAATTAAGTAATTGCCGATTTAAGTTATAGATATCTCTCACTCCCATTTTTATGATATCCGTAAATGTTATATTATAAAATTATTATTATTATTATTATGTTATTTTTTATTATCCGTGAATGTTAGCAACTGGACAAATTGAATGCAGCGGTCAAGGAAAAGCGACCAGAATTGGTCGATCGTGAAGGTGTCATTTTCCAGCAGGACAATGC